GTAGTAAAATCAAGGAACATCTCAAAATTATTTTTCATTTCATCTGTATTAAGGATTCCTGTCCGCTGCTTGCGACAAACCACTAGAGAACGATATTTTAGTGCTCCCAACCTGCAGTAACACCCCCTTATTTTCATTACATGTACAACTGATCAACTTCTCTTGGTTGATCTCACACCTTACTGGGTTTTTTTTTCAGAAAAGAATTTCTTTTAAATTATGGTTTATACTGAAAACAAATATTCGGTGCATGCTAGAGTTGATCGCAGTAGTATAGAAATCCGAAAATTCACTCCCTGAAATGATCCCTAGAACAGTCTTCTAAGAATAGCAAAAATGCCCCCATACCGTATATGGAGGGTTAAACAATTAATAAATTTCATCAAAAATAGTCTTACCTACAAAGCGTAGCTGTACTGTACACGTGTACAGGGATTTGTTGACATGCTTCGATAAAAGTATGTTGCACTAAATAAGAAAGAAATTATTACTAACAAAACTGATAAATCAATAGGCAATTACAAATTTATTTAACCCGAGAAACACCACTTTTCCGTAATACGATTTGTTTTTGCAAATTACATCACGGTCACAAAAAGTTTATTCAAAAGTTGGTCCTCGGATGGGAAAGTGTTGAAGGTATCTTTTTTAAGTCCGGGAAACCCCATCACTTTCACAGATACCGTATAGTGTATATGGCTATATTTGCAGTATCATATTAGCAATACCTAATTTATCAGCAGTTTCAAAATTCATATTCAATTGGTTTTGTATCTTTTTGTATCCATTTTTGCTACCCGAACTGCTTTACTCCTTAATTTTTTTCCCCGTTTTCATAAATGCCGACTTAGGGAAATACGGGCAGTTTTCTGCCATACCTCTTTCTACTTTTCTTCTGCTGTTATTTTTCAGGAGAATAAACAAGAACATATGTCAATACAGAAAACCACTCCTTTTACGCCATCATGTTACTGTTGCGAAGGAACATTCATAAACGTTACTTTGTCACGAAGAGATGCTAATAAACGTCCTTCTGTCCTTTTACACCATCATGTTACTGTTGCGAAGGAACATTCATAAACGTTACTTTGTCACGAAGGGATGCTCATAAACGTCCGTTTGTCTAACCACCTCTATACAAAAACGCAAAGGAATGAGGTGACGAAAATGTGTGGAACAAGTATCGTGTAAGCGTTAAACATTTTTGTCGTAATATGGAAATCTCGTGTCCTAAGAAGTTTGTGGATGGTAAATTTAATCTACAAATGTGATCCCTGTCACTCTGGTAAACAAACTTCTTCCAACTGATTGTTTTGGCTCGGGGAATTTCTTTTAACTCAATCGGCGCCAGAAAAATGCAACAGTCACTCACATGTGCGTCTACACACTCTGCCATACCCTATACGCTACGTTCCAGTGGTTAAAGCGTCTGACATTTTGCTACCACTAGCTCTCCACCGCTGGGTCGCGGTGGCCAAGGGGTTAAAGCGTCTGACACCCTGCCACATTTACCACTAGCCCTCCACCGCTGGGTCGTTTGGGTCGAGACCTACTTGGGACAGTCGCCATGTACTGTACGTAGGTCGGTGGTTTTTCTTCGGGAACTCCGGCTTTCCTCCACCATCAAAACCTGGCACGTCCTTAACTCAAATAAACAAAACAAGTATTGAAGCGGTTGTTTGGTTTGGTTCATGATTTGGGGTAAACTAGCTACCAGCCCCTAAGTTTTTATATCAAATTAAATGACTGCACTTTACTAGCCGTCCCTAGTTTGAGAACTCGGACAATAAAGTGAACAAAATTATTAGATTTTTTGTTCTTTCTTAATAATTCAATATTCTAGAGACGAGGTGCCAGTCTAGATTTGGAGGTTTAAAATTCTAGGTTTTGCAACAGCTAAGATCATATATACTCAATCAGGTCCATAGGGGGACACCACCAAACTGAAAGGCAGATAAAGGGCCGAAGTGTTGAATGTCGTAGCAGATCAATTGAAGTTTCTTTTACGTTTCCTAAGCTGAAGGGCTCACACAACTAAATCATTTATTATATGTTATTACCAATCGTTGAAGTTCAACATTAGTGACAACTGTCTACTGTCTAGATTCACAGGTACATACCTGGCAAAGGATTCAAAAGGCATTGTTTGTGAGTTTGGTGGCATATAAGAGCGCTACAGGCGTCTGATTTTGACAACCGGAAGTTTACAAGCCAAACCGATGAAGTGGGACGGTAACACCCCCTGACGTTTGACCCCGTATCAATCCGCCATCAAAGATCAAAATCTACTATAACTATACATTTTTTTAATGTTCAATATCTGTAGATTTCATTCAATGTAAAATATGTCAACAACTACCTATCTAAATTACTCAGAGGCACTGTATTAACACGAAACAAATTTTAGATAGGGATTTCAATTGTATGAAACATTGGCTGATTTAGTTGTGCGAGTCCTGAACGCACAGAAAAAAACCTCCCGATTCTGCATGAAGGCATCCTCGATACGTCACGGAGCGAAGGTAAGCGAAACCCTTGGAGTATTGAGGATGGCAGTAATGGGGCTCACGGTATTTAAACCCTTGGAGTATCGAGGATGGCAGTAATGGGGCTCACAGTATTTAAACCCTTGGAGTATCGAGGATGGCAGTAATGGGGCTCACAGTATTTAAACCCTTGGAGTATCGAGGATGGTAGTAATGGGGCTCAC